TCCCAAACTCTGAGAAGCATTCCCTGCTGCCTCGTTTTTGCATGGCTTCGGCTCGCCAAGGCATTTGAAATGTTTGCTTTTGGACAGAGGGATGTCAGTAAGGTGAACTGGCTGAGTAGGTCCTGTATCTTCCCACCCTCCCCTCACACCCACTGCAAGCATGGGAGATCGTTCATTCGTGTATATATACCTTGTCAACTGTCTTCGCTCGGAGAAAAGTGATGCCAATATTTGGGAGGTGACACAGATCATCCTTAACTTGAGTATTTGCTTTTCAGTTGACTTGAGGAGCAGAGGAAGGGTAGATGCCTCCGGGTGGGTGGGGTAGGAAGACCTCCTGTCTCTCCCCTCCCCTCAGCCTTTTTCTCTGAGGCCTCTTGGTCCTGCCTGGTGCCTGGCCTCTGCCCAGCCTGCCCACGGAGCAGGCTTTCTCCCTGGGGGCTGGGAACTGTACTCTCTGCCCTCGTCCCACGCTGACCCCAGAGTAGGAACCCCTCGCAGTCCTTGCAGGAGCGTCTGGGCAGGCTGGAAATCTCAGGGCTTTGCTGTGGGCTGGGAGATGTGCGGGCACTGACTGCAGAGAAGAATGCATGTTTGGGGCTATCTGAAGACTACGAGCCTAGGGAGAACTTTTAGTGTCCCCATCTGGCTCTCTGGGATACCCAGTTGTCCTGGCTGTCTCCCAGGCTCTTCGCCTCCCCCACCCCACCCCCGGACCCCCAGCAGGCCTCAGATAGGGCCTCAACACATCGAGCTTCCGCACGAGGGCGCATCCGCACTCGGACGCCAGAGGCTTGTGCTATCGGCTCCCCGGAAATATGCCCCTGCGCCGGGCTCCTTCCTACAGCGGGCTCCTCCTCGGCTCAAGTTGCAAACTCCTAGCCTGGGAGCCCAGGATTCGACCCTGCGCGGGAGCCAGGTTGGGGCGCCACGCAGTTCTACTGCTGGAAGGAACCTCCCGGGGATGCTGCAAATCTGCAAACGTGAGGGGCTGGACTTGCCTCTCCAGACCGCGACTAGAAGCTGTTTTTTTTTTTCCCTCTTTCTTTCTTTACTATCAGTGCCCCGCCCACCAGCCTCCCGGTCTCCGCCTGCGTCCGGCCCATGCCCAAATTGGGCGGTGTTTATTATTGTACGAATTCAAGCTCAGATTTGCCTTGGAGTTCAGAAGTAGCGCGGCGGAGGCGCGCCTTTCGGGAGAGGCAGGGATGCGCCTGCTGGACTTCGGGTGCGGGGCAAGCTCCAGGGAGGGCTCCGGCTGCGGAGGGGTTGGTGCGTAGTGACACCCATCTGTCTCCTCCTCTGGGCCTGTTAGAGCGGGAGCTGAGGCTGGACATCGAGCTAGATCCAAGCTGGAGCTTGCTGGGGACGCGCTGGTCTGGAGACTGGTCCCGGGGACTATGGAACTGCGGGTTGCATCCGCCCAGGCATTGAAGTGTCCCCCCCTCCCCCAGGGTTGAAAGGGGGTGCTGCGGTGAGATCTAGAGATCCAGAGAGATGACAGCGCCCCGCCCCCTCCTGGCTAGAGGGCCATCCTCAACACCTAGGCCAGAGCCAGGCTGGGCTGGATGGTTGGCCTAAGTTAGAAAAGCAGCGCCTGGGAGGGAGGCCCGGAGGTGCCCCCGCACTGGCCTGGCGCTCCCTCAAGCTTCGCCTGCACCCAAACCGGTTTTTCCACCTTGATTTTGACTTCCTATGGCGTGTGTCAAACTTTCCCACTTCCTTGCTATCTGGAACCACCGAACATAGGGGTTACTCTATGGATTCCCCATTTTGGAGTGGGATTCTCCCGGCTTTCCCTTGTTCAGGGGTGACCTGGCCTTTAGCAAGCAGATGTCCTCTCGCTGCTGACATGCCCCGCCCCATGCACCATAGTGCCTCTCTTTCCCTTCCCTGTGGAGCACGGCCCTGGGCCATTCCTACGCCCACCTGCCGCCCTCACCCCTCCCTCTCTTCTTTGGCATCCCCACACGGTTTACTCAATGAAACGCTAATTCAATTAACCCAAGTGTTTTTTTTTCTTTTAAAAAATATTCAGCAGAGATCATAAACAGGAACTAGTGGTGCATTAGTCCCCCGACCCCACCCCCAGCGCCACGGTGGGACAGAAGACCGCTCCTTCTCAATCGGCATCATTCAGGGTTTTTGATTCCAAGCATGACGTGGCTGAATGTAAAATGAGACAGGGTGGGGGTGCTTACACCCCAGGGTGAGTGGGTGGGGGTGGGTGGGTGGAGAGCAAGCAGGCTTCCCAAATGCTTAATGTAATCACGGGCCAGCTGCGTGCACTTGTAAAGTTGTTATAACCCCCCTCCTTGTTATAAACAGGAAAGCACAGAATATAAAGCAAGAGACCCGCATTCACAAATACCAGCTCTCCTGCGACAGCTGCCAAATTCCCCTTTTATGGTGTTCCTCGCTTGCAACCTCAGTCCCATCAGAAAGACCTTAGCTTCTCCCCCCTGACCTCTCCAAACGGGTTTATTTTGGAACTACCCCCAACCAAGCCGTGGCCCAGGTACCCCCGCCCTCTCTAGCTCCCCAGTACCCTGTGCCTTGGCTTCCGGAGAAGCTGGGCTCCCGGAGGCCTCTTCTGGGTCCCCAGGGAGCCCCTGGAGGTAGAGGCTGGCCCACTCCGGGATACCAGGCCCCCCGGGTGAGCGCCTCCAGTTCCTGCAGGTCATCCCGATAGTTTCTCCAAGGAGGGCTGCATCCTCTTCTCCCGAGACTCCCAGACCTCTTAGATAGACACGCCGCTCCCCCCACACCCAAATATCTAAACGCTTTCAAAGACCTCAGGAGGCATTTTATGAGATGGTTCCATCTCCACATCTATGAAGGCTGAGAGAAGAAAAGACCTTTTGTGGGAGGCTCAGGATAACTGGGCTCCCCCAGGCCAGCAGTAAAACTCACCCCTGTGCCCCCACCCCATCCCCACCTCTCCTTCCTGGCCCAGCAGACCCCCGCTCCCAGCCACTGCGGTCCACATCCTGCCTCACTGACTGTGTGTGCTTACAGCGTCAAGGGGTGGACGTGATATTTCAAACATCAGATCAGTGCGTTTATATATTGGGTGCCCGGAAATTTTTCCAAATAAACACAGCTTGATTCAACTTGGGTGGGCGGACTTATCAACAGACTAATTCTATAAACAAATGAAGGAATAGCCCTGAAACCGATTGGCTGGTATCAAAAAGACACGTGGAGGGAAAAGCTTGGAGTTTTTCAGCAATGAAATTTTAATTAATGTGGGTGGGCTGAGCACACAACGACTGTTTATCATAGACAATTTATTTTCCAGCGCTAAGTCAACATATAATAGCAAACTTACAACAATTATTTAACATTTTTAAAGCCATGAAGGGACAGACCACGGAGCGGCCAGGGAGAGCGGCAGAGCGGGAGGCAGACGCACCGCGGGCTCCCCCGGAGGGCCCTCGCGGCGCGGGGCGCACTCCCTAAGCCCTGGGTCGCCTGCGTTGCCGGGGAGCGCAGCGCCGGGCTCCGGCTCGCCATGAGCCACCTCTTCGGTCCCCGGCTGCCTGCTCTGGCCGCCTCACCCATGCTCTATCTGTACGGCCCCGAGAGAGCCGGGCTGCCGCTGGCCTTCGCCCCCGCGGCCGCTCTGGCCGCCTCGGGCCGGGCGGAGCCCCCCCAGAAGCCGCCCTACAGCTACATCGCGCTCATCGCCATGGCCATCCAGGACGCGCCCGAGCAGAGGGTCACGCTGAACGGCATCTACCAGTTCATCATGGACCGCTTCCCCTTCTACCACGACAACCGGCAGGGCTGGCAGAACAGCATCCGCCACAACCTCTCGCTCAACGACTGCTTCGTCAAGGTGCCTCGTGAGAAAGGGCGGCCAGGCAAGGGCAGCTACTGGACGCTGGACCCTCGCTGCCTGGATATGTTCGAGAATGGCAACTACCGGCGCCGGAAGAGGAAGCCCAAGCCAGGCCCAGGGGCCCCGGAGGCCAAGCGGGCCCGCGCCGAGACGCAGGAGCGCGGCTCCGAGGCGCAGCTCCCCGCAGGGCGCCGCGGCCCCGCGACCCCCCGCCAGGAGGGAGCGCCCGCACGCCCCTCGCCCCTGCGGGACGGCTCCTCTCCGCCCGCGCCCCTCCACTGGCCTGGGCCCGCGTCCCCGGAGGAGGACGCGGGCGACGCTGTCCAGGGCGCAGCGGCCTTGGCCATAGGCCAGCCAGCGCGCACAGTGGATGGCCCGGGGTCTCCTCCACGTCCTGCTTCCCACGGCTCTCCGAAGAGCTCCGACAAATCCAAAAGCTTCAGCATAGACAGCATCCTGGCGGGACGGCAGGGTCAGAAGCCCGCCGGAGGGGTCGAGCTCCTGGGGGGCGCCAAGCCGGGGCCCGGCAGCTGTGTGGGTGCCTCGCTTCTGGCCACCTCCTCAAGCCTCCGTCCGCCTTTCAACGCTTCCCTGATGCTCGACCCGCGCGTCCAGGGCCGCTTTTACCAGCTCGGGATCCCTTTCCTCTCCTATTTCCCTCTGCAGCTTCCCGACACGGTGCTTCACTTCCAGTAAAGCAAACAGTGACGGGGTCCTTCCCCTACCCTGGGCTGAGCTTGTGAGACCAGGGGCCTAATCGCTGGGGGAAGGAGCCACGTTTTTGTTTTGTTTTTGTGTGTTTTTTTAAATGATCTTTTCTTCTGCAACGTGTGAATCCTGGGAAGTGTTACCAACTTTTGCACGCAGGTGGGCAGGGTCGCCTGCCTCCTCCGAGGTGAGGCGGACTTTCCCAGAACCCGGAACACCTCCGGAGATTTAAAAGACCTTGCCTGGCTAGGACTTGGGCATCTCAGACCTCCTACCGCCAGAGCAGGAGAATTCCTTGACCTTAGGTCAGTCTAAGGTTGTGGTCTTCCACTGCCCAGCACAGGTCCTTCATGTCCAGAGCAGCAAGGGCCCAGACAACCAGGGAGCAGGACTGAAGGACATGGTGGGGTGCTTTCAAACAGAGCCACAGTCTGACTGTGGCCAGCTCGGTTGTGGGTTGTCACTGTGGCTCAGGCCTTGGCTTTGGGTCCATGGGGTGGTGGGTGTTCACAGCTGGGTTTGTCCTTGAAGTCCAGTTGTGGGGACACTGGCAGTGACCCGTGTTTCAGGTTCTTTGGGAGATCTAGGGCCTGGTGAGGATTTACAACCAATGTCCAGGTGGAAGCTAAGAAACCACACTTTTATTTTAAATACAGAATTTCTCTCTTTTTTCTTTCTAGACAGTAAAAGGAATATGCTATGTTCTTTGGCTAGATGCTTGGCTCTTTTTACTACAATGATTGCCCTGTGAAAATGTCTATAGTAACAACCTCTATTAAGAAAGTGCACTCTATATGATAGCATTTTGTTGCATTATGATAGCCCGATAGTCAGTACCCATGATCTCCAAGACGTGTTACCAACATTAGCAGGTATCCTGTCTTGTTGCTTTTGTTTTTAAGGGATCAAAAGATAGCAGAGGACACCAGAAGTGTGTGAGGGGGAGGGAAGCTGTCTTAGACACAGAAGATTTCCCATTTGCATGTTTTTTCAAGCTCTAGGTTTGATTTTTGCTACATTTTCCAGAATTGTGTAGTAAAGGACCACCTTTAATCCAAAAAGTTGGATGAAACAAACACAAAAGGCAGATACTGGGAGAGATGGGTCATGCTGGGCAGAGAAAGGGAATCTTCTGATATCTGCTGGAGGGTGTGTCTCTGGACCCCAAAGAACAGGAAGCTCAGCCAGAGGATTCTTTCAGACATTCCCAGCTGATGGCATCCCAGCCCGCACCCAGCTCTTCCCTCCAAGCCCCTTCCCCGGGGCGGGCGGTCCTAGAGCCAGCAGCTAAATAAACACCTCATGGAGGTGACTGGAAATCTGGAGGGTGGGGAGCAGGAAGATTGGGGGGAGGACAGGAGGAGGGTTCTGCAACAAAGATCTGGTTAAGACAATGGAGATTTTTACAGCCCAGTTCAGTTTGGAACTTTTGGGAAGTGCATCTAACCCCTTACAGTATCTCTCTTTGGGTTGCCTTGGATGGGAAACTGAATTTCCTGAACCTCTAGGTTATTTTAATTTTATCGGATGTGGGAAAGACTCAGTAAGTCATGAGAGTTCTGGAGGTAGGCTGCAATAGATCTTCCAAATAACTTTTAAAATAATTTCCAGGACTTAGATAAAGATGAACACAAACTTTACAGCAAGAGAGCCTATTGGTTAATATATCCGAAAGGACATTCCAGACAAGCATAATAATTTAATAATTAGTAAGCACACAATTGACTTTCTGAGAATTTATTCTTAAAGCCATGTGCTACTGATCCATAAGTTTCCTTGAGCATATTCTGCCCAGGTTGGTGGGAATGTTTTGGTGAGCTGCACAGTGTCCTTGATTTTAAGAACTTTGATGAGATCCCATTGTTGAGATCCAGGCTCACTGTGATTAACCTACAATGTGGTGGAAGGGCTGTCATGGATATTTTGTTATCCCAAAGTCTCAGCCTCTGTGAATAAAGTTGTTTTTTCATTAACCTCTCAGTGACTGGTTCAGTGGATTACTGGGGGGAATAAGCAAACAGTGTAATAGGAGAGAGGAGTCAGGGATTATATGTGGGAGCCCTGTCAGCATCTCAGGAGCAGAGAAGCCTGGGGCCAGTGGGTGCTGCCGGAACATCATGGAAACTCCACGGTGTAGGTTATGTTTTTAGTTTTTCCTTTTGTGTTTGATTTGCTATCTCATGTGTTTTGTTAATTTACGATGGCTGTCTTCTGGAGAAACCAATAATCTAATACTGCCATTTTAAAAAGATGCATTTTAGAGTTACAATTCCAAGAAGTATAATATAAACATTGCTTTTGTGTCTCAGAAAAAAAAAAAAAGGCAGGAGTGTGTATCTGCTTTGTAAGAGTGTTTATACATACATAAGGAGGCATTCTGTTAACTAATCCCCGCATTCATCTGGTTTGGGAGGGCTGAGGGGAATGGACGGTACAGTGATGGAATCTATCGAATCGGTACAGTCCCGTGAAGATTCCTTCCTACTGAAGAAAAAGAGGACCTGTCGGTCTTAGCAATCCACACGGCTATGCCGGTGCTCCGGATTTAATCACGGGCTCCAAGTTGTAGGTCAGTAAGACAAAAAAAAAAAACCCAAACAAACAAAAAAAACCCCAAAAAACTCTTACTTAAAGCAAACTCTCCTCTGTATTTAGGGCAAACCAGAAGCAACCTTATCTTTCTACTCTTAGGCAATCTGAAGGTACACCTCTGTGTTCCCTTCTAAACAAAGGGAACAGATTCTGTTTTTCTGAAAAGGGTCTGTGGTTTAAGCTCAGTGTATGCACACACACACACACACGCACACTGATGAATACATTGATCATAATGGGGATATAGCGGGAGTACCGTGTACAACGATAAAGACAGAAGTGTGTATATATATACGCATGGGTATGTATGTACATACATGCATTTGTATATGTGCGTGTGTGTATGCGTGTGTGTGTATATGTGTGTGTTCTGTACACATGAATGTGCAGAAGTTCATCTTTTTTTACATATAAGTGGACAGATGGGCTCAGATCAAGTGCTGAATCCTTTCAAATTAATCCAAGTATTGATACTTTCAGAAGGATTTTCTTTTTCGATATAGTTCAAGCCAGGGTTGAAAATTTGGATTTTGCACTATTCTGATGAAACTAATGAAGATTTTCTTAAAGAATCTTGGAAGACACACCAACGTTGAGATCTTTACTTCTTTGACTTGTGTAAGGATAAGAGAACTTTGTAAAGGCCTTTTGCTTTGGTTTTGGATGTTCATTGGCTCTTGTAGCAGCTAATGACCCTGCTGGGTCTCATATGCCTCCGAAGGTTTTCCGGAACCTGAACAGGATGTGATTCGCCATTTCAGCGTGTATCCACGTGTGGGTTAAAGAACTGGCCACACATGATGTTACTGTTGCAGCTGAAAGCTACTGTTAACATCAGAGACGTGGGTGATGTTTCCAGTAGCGGGCAGCTCTAGATGAGAGCCTCAGCTTTGTGCACTTCCCATCTTCATGGTAGCTGGAAACGTCTTGTTTGCAGGAAGCGGAGTTTGTTCCATAGAGTAAAAAATGCACATGATAAGAAGCAAAGTTCATTGTTTAAAAATAAAGAGCATGAGTTTGTTGGAAAGATAAAATTCTTTGGATCCACATTTCAAGCAGTTTTTAAAAATATGTCTGAATAGCTAAATGGCAAGTTCTCTACTACACTTGTCCTCATGGGTTCTCTGGGGCCGGGCAGACACCATACCTGTGTACAGCATCCTAGTGGTGAGCACTAGGAGGTGGTGGAGCCTGGGCAGAGCTGAGGGCTTTGCCTCATCCAATGATATCTGAATGCCAATTGTACTGGGCAGACCATGTGAAGGGCACTAGGCCCGATGTGTATTGAAGCCCAGGGTCTACAGCATGGTGGGCAGATGAGAGTGAGTACAAGATGCAGTTCTGGCCCTGGAAGGTGGCTGTAAGGAAAGGGGGTAACCACAGCACGGTCCTAGGTCCTGAGGGGTGTCGTCTACATAGCCAACACCATTGTCTTTATTTACCTTGGCAGTGAGGGGGGAGAATGGAAGGGAGGTGGTGGGGCAAAGATTTGGTCTTAACCTTTTCCCATTAGGCATGAGAATCAGGGTTCCAGAAACAGAAGCCCACTTACATGGGCCGATGGAAAAGACCAGGGTAGAGGGATTGCTTCTGTGGGGGAAGGGCCGGGGGAAGGGCAGCTCCACGGGGAGTAAGAGTGAGTGTGGTTGCAGCTTCTGCAGGCAGGAGCCGAGGAGAAATACCCCAATCTCTCTCCTCTCCTGCCTTCCAGCCTCATGTGGATACCTCTCATTGGCTGACCCTCCTAGAAGTCCAGGCTGCAAGGGAGCCCAGGTAATGCAATACATAAGGGGCAACCTGCAAGGCCAAGAGGGGCTGAGAATGCACGGGGGTGGGGGCGGGGCAGATAGACTGTGCCCAGCACAGTCGGGGTGGGGGGTCCTTCCTTCAGGGTCAGTCGGTGGCACCTGTCCTGACCGCACTGTTGGTCCAAGAGCCGGGACTAGGATGTCTTGGACGATACTGGCAGCTACCTCTGGCCTTCCAGGAGATCTGACTCTCCTACTTGTCAAGCTTCCAAGAGAGGTGACTCTAGAGCCATCTGAGACCCGCTTAGGGAGGCACGGCCTGGGTCTGGACTTTGCTCCCGGGGGCCCTGTCCCCGGCCATGCAGTCTCTGCCTTCATAGCTTTGAGCCTGAGTTGCTGGGGGCTGTGAATGATGCTACACGGGTATCTTTCAGTTCATTGAGAATCTAAAACAAAATCACCTTTTACTAAAAGTGTCCTGAATATGGCTGGTGTAATCTCCTCCTCGCAGGCTGTGTGGGCCTCACGCTGGGAGGGCACTTCTGGCCCAAGGGCAGAGGAAGTGGGACACATATGAAGTGTTTGGGCCCCAGGACAGCATCTAGGTCAAGCCCTCTGGGAAGGGTGGAAGGATGTTCCGGTGTCCACAGGACCGCGTCACCTTGGACAACACTAAGTTGAAAGCATGACTCCGGTCCTCACAATGTGCGATGTAAAGTATTAGAAATGCCACACCTTTCTGGCATCCTGGCATCCCTACTTTCCCAGGTAGCTGGTCACCATGTACTACTTCGTATTTTTCCAGGTGTTTCTAGACACATCTACTAGCAGGGAAGAATTCCTCTCATTACTGTCTTAATGACTTGTTACTGTTCAGTAGGTTGAGTTGAGGTGGGCTTAGGGAGGGGTATGTTAACCTAGTGAAGAGTGTGTCCTTGGTGCCCACCAGGACACCCTTTTGTGTTGTGTGACCTCAGCAAGGTGACCTAACACTTCTGTGCCTTAACTTGCTCATCTGTACAAATGGGCATAGCATCAGCAAAGGCCTCACAGATCCATCCTGAGGAGTAAAGTAAAATGATGGCTGTAAGTCCATAAAACAATGCCTGCCCTGGTCCCCAGCTCAAAATGGCAATCACCATGATGCCTCCTGCAGAAAGTGCTCAGTAAATGGGAGGTCTGTATACAGACAGAGCCGCTCATCTAAACACTTTGGTTTTATGGGCCCGTTTGTGCCTTCCTAATTATGCAATGAAATCATGACCCAATAGCTTTGTTCATGTTATGTAATTCTGGAAGTAGCAGAAGGCTTCTGGGGGTTGACTTCTCTGGGTAGGTTGGGATGCGTTTTCATCTCTTTATTGCCCTGTTACGTCTCTTGAGATGATCCAACCCTTTGAACATGAAACCAAAAGCAAAATAAGCAGCGATGCATGGCGGGGGATCCTAGGAAAACCACAGGAGAGCCAATCCCGCAGGCCAAAGAGAGTGAGGTCCCTTTGGCGTTTCCTCGCTTCACACCAGAGCCCAGAGGGGCTTCCCAGGGCCGCTGTCTAGCCATTGTGAACCCAAGGGCCCTGGGAATGAATGCAAGTCTTTATTTCTGCCCTCAGCACCAGGGCTGCTCCTGCAGGCCAAGGAGAGGCCCCAGCCCTCTCCTGGGGAGAACGGGACCGGCCCAAGGAGCAGTGTTCCTTAAACTCTTGTGTTTCATAGCCCGCCTTATAAAGTGTAAGGGACATTTCTTTAAATGCTGTGGCTAAATATAGCAAGGGCTTGGTCAGCTAGAACATTTTTAGAAAGCACATTACAAATCAGGAATGTTTTGAAGAAATAAATAAACTTTCCCACATTTTTGGACTTTGAGTCGGCACTGTGGGCTCCATCTTGGGAGCCTGACGGTGGTGGTGGTGGGGGTGGTGATGAATAATTCACGTTGGGGCTCCGGCTGGTGCCTGAGTCCCCTGGCAGTGACATTTCCTTCTCTCCACTGGGCGTGGGTGGGAGACACTGTCAGGTTAAGGGCACCCCGGCGTCTGTGGAAGGGCCACCCAGTGACCTAAGAAGTGAGGATTAAAGAGGAATGAATCTATTTCTAGCACATTTCATGGCTCGTCTTGTCTTGTTCTGGAGGTTCACTGGACTTCCATGTGAGAGGAGAAGGATCCTGGGGGCAGTGACACCCTCTCTCTCTGTTGCAGGGTGGCCAGCCGCTCTGGCCCCTTCCAGGGCCGGTGTCCCATCCCCAAGGACCCCCATCAGGTCAGCCTGTGGTGGGACTGGACGGTGCGTCTCTAAAGGCTGCTCAGCGGTGTCTGCTCGGCAGCCAGAAGCAAGAGCCACGCCGGTGAGGGGCGTGGCCGTCTGTGGGGCTCAAAGGACCAGCCCATCCTTTCTTCTCACCTGTCGTACTGTACTCGGTTTCTAGGTGATGGGAGTAGATTCTTGGCTCCTCTCCATGACCCCCACTGTCCTTCTGTGCTCTGGGTCGTGGTGCTCTGCATTCAAGCAGACGTTGCAGCTGATATGTTCACGGGAGAAGTGTGGACTATGCAGGAAAGTATTGAGAAAGGAAAAAATCTGTAATCTCCTGATCAGCTGTAACAATCCCACCTCCAGGAGATTCTAGAAGGCTGGCAT